AAATTTTCTAAGGAACCTACTGAAGACTTGAACTGAAGAGCTACTCTGGAAGCATAATCTATGACTGGAGATTAAATTTGTTATACCTGTCAGCTCTTTTTAACTAAATTTCAGTGCAAAAAAATCAACAGGATTTTTAAAATGAAATTTGACAGAATAATAACTAAGATATTTTTGAAAAGAACAGTGAGTGAATACTTGCTCTATGAGATGGCAAACAGAATAATTAAAACAGCATGTTATCCATGCAGAAATATAAATATAGATCAGTTTTTATTTAATCTAATCAAGAGTGCATATGGCTAGAGAAGCATACTTAGAAGTGTAATATATAACAAAAGTGGCATTTCAAATCAGTGAGGAAGAATGAATCAGCAAATTATTGGTGTTGAGATAGCTGACTATCAATTGAGATCAAAAAACGAAAATCAGACACTTAGCTCTATCATTCATGAAACTAAATCCCAGATGGCTAAATTTTAGAAGAAATACGGATCATATATAGAATTTTAAAAGAATTAGGTAGGTCTATTTGTAGGGATGCCATGTATTATTTTGAAGTTTTTACTTTGCAAAAGGGATGCCCAGCCAGGGGTACAAATGGGGAATGACATCCAGCTTGGCCTCACTTGTCAAGCTGTGCACCAAGGTCCAAAAGCGGGGTCTTCCCTTTTTCTAATTTGTCTGCTTCCAGTAGGGGCACAACGCACTTTGCTACCGGGAAGAGGCACGGTTTCTAATCGATACAAAAACCTTGTATACCAGCAGCAACCAATAAATAGTAGTTAATTAACAGTTAATAGGTAATTTGTATGTATATAAGTGCTTTTTTTTACACAAACCGTTGCTATAAACTGAATGTGTCCCTTCAAAAATCCCTAAATTGAAGTCCTAACCCCGAATGTGATAGTACTTGGAGATGAGGTCTTTGGGAAATAATTAGGTTCAGAAGAAGGTCATGACAATGGGGTCCTCATGAGGGGATGAGGGCCCTTATAATAAAAGGTACCAAAGAGCTAGCTGTCTCTCTCTGCTCACCTCATGAGCACAAAGCGAAAAGGCAGCTGTCTAGAGGCCAGGAATAGAGTTCTCACCAGAAGCCAATCATGGGGGCAACTTGACCTTGGACTTCTAGCCTCCAGAACTGTGAGGAAATAAATTTCTGTTGTTTAAGTCACGCACTATGGTAGCTGGAGCTAACAATGACATGTCATAAAATGTATTGGTTTTTTTGGTTGTTATTCTTAAACTTATTTTTTATGTAGGTATATATAGGTAATATGTATGAATATGTATTACACAACCGATACCACAAATAATTTCTAGAGAACAGATTGTATGAAGGTAGTGATCAAGGGTCACTTTTGCTTTAACCTTAATGTTTTATCTTTTATAAGCATGTCCTCATAATACATGGTTTATTTAAAACACATAAAATGCTGAAATATTTTGAGAAAAAATATTATGCTAGAAGGTATCTCATGTTTTAAAAAGTCAATTGATAGCACTTATAATTAATGAAAATTTACTATGTTCCATGCAGTTAGTATGTTAATTCAATATTTACTCATTCTGTGCAACAATTCTATGGAGTAGATACTATTTATGTCCTCATTACACAGAGAAAGAAACTGAAGTTCAGACAAGTTAAATAACTTAACTCAAGTTTACACAGCTATAAAGGATAGTAAAAGGATACTAATGGGGACATCCTGATTCTAGAGCCTACCTCCTTAATCTCTATGGAATGTTGAGAAATGAAAATAGGGCATCAGGTAGTGGACACTTTGGCATAAACAATTTCAATAAAATGATAAGGGCAAAAGACATATTGTATTAGATTGAGAAGGGAGATATCATTAATAAAGAAAATGAATTGCTAGTTCTTACATTATGTTGAGCCACATGAAATTGCCAACACTTAACCATTTTTGACCCACAGAAATGTAATTTTCTTATTGTTCAATCTAATATATGTGCTAATTTATGAACCTTGTTTTTCAAGAAAGCTTATCTTCAAACTAAAAAAAAACAACAACAGGAAAAGGAAATAAACAACAGAAGTTTCCAAACCTCAAGGCTGTGTGTGTGTGTGTGTGTGTGTGTGTGTGTGTATGTTTGTTTTTAACAGATCTGGAAGCTGTTTCAAGCCTTCTTATTCTGACATGAGAAATACGTGCCCACAATTATATTACCAAACATGAGATTTGTGAATTGCATTTCAGTAGTAGAGAAAAACATTTTAACCAATCAACCAATTTCTCAGTCTCAGAATGGTTACAAAATAACCGTTAACAGAATAGTTACTATCAGTAATTTTTGCATGTTGAACTTTATCTTCCTAAATCACAGAATGAGGCCTGTGCCTTTACATACATTATCCAAAATTTTCTGAGAATTATTTCCTGCTGTAGTATCCTGATATTTAAACTGCCTTTCTCACTAATTTCCCATTGGCATGCAAGCACTGGATTCCTAATTACCTGAATCTCCAACATTTCCCATGAGTTAATCATACAGATCATAGACCCTTAAAAGTTGATAGCTCACTTAGCCCACAGAAGTCATCCAGTTCAGTTTTACAAAGGACAAAACAGAGCCTTGTAGAGGTGAAATGCATGACTTTCCCCAAGTCATATACTATTCAAGGAAGATTTAAGACTAAAATCCCGGGTCTCCTGGTTCCTAGCGCTTAGTAATCTTTTCACTGTGTTATATGCCTATTTTTATCCTGTTATGTAATGCAGAGTAATCTGATTTTTCTTTTCTTCTTTTCATCTGGAGTTCTGAGTCAGCTAATCTTGATAATTATTGGGACAGGAAGCAAAACACTGAAATGGCTCTGTAATCAAAGAAACTCCCTGGCTATGAGGAGAGATTCTATTAGAAGCACGTCTCCTAGCTGCTGGGACCTCACATCTGTTCTGTTTTTCCATCCCCTTTCATTTCTGTGGCTTGCTTTTGTTTCCCCAGCATAGTTTCAGACTATCCAGCCAGCCTTGTGACCCTCACCTTTGCCTTGCCCTTTAGTATTTAGCTCTTTGTGGGTTGTTGTCTGACCCATGGCATGGCCTGTCTTCTGGTTTCCTCTTATATCTTGCTCTGTGCTGGCTGAACTGGTTTCTCACTGGCTGTTTCACCTCTAAGCCTTGCCCTCTGGCTTTGCTATATTCTCAGTTTTCTCCATAATAGATTAAACTCAACTCTAAAATCCTGAGACAACTAGAAAATCATATGAATTTCACCCAGTAGGTCTTTAGGAATTGTCTGGCATCTATGTGGACCTCCAGATTCTCTCTGCAAGCTTGTGACTGGGGTTTGAGATAACTGTTGCACAGGCCACAAAGCTCCCTAGATACAAGCGAACCTCGTTGTATAAAATGGTTATGTCCTCCAATGTTTTTTGTATGTTCAAGGGGCAATTTTTTAAATACACTTTACTTTTTAGAGCAGTTTTAAGTTTTCACATCAAAATTGAATAGGAAGTACAGAGTTTGGGACAATTTTTTTTTTTACATTGACTAACTGTAAGGAAAACTTACTGTGATTTCTGTTATGAAATGGAGAGATCCTTAATTTATCTTTTGTGAAAACCCACTCAGGAGCTAGCTAAACTAGATAATTATACCAGTTACCAATCTATGGTCTCTCAGCTCCAAATCCGCCCTTCATTGTTTGCTCTATGAAAACAGAGCTGGACCCTGTAATGATTTCTCTCTTGCAGTTGGCACAATGCTAATCTATGTCAGGAAAGAGTGGCGGAGGGACGACGAAGAGGGAAGCAGCTTTCCTTCCTGGTTCCAGTGTTCACCCCTTCCAGTTCCTAAGATGTGGCTGCTAGCAGCATGTGTGGGAGCCACTCCATGATGCTTATGCCCATGGAGTTCTAGTGTCACCCCATAAACAGATTCTCATCAAATTTCAGTGGTACTTCCATAGTCAGAATGCCACTGAGTCTTTCTGCACCTGTTAGTAGCTCAGCAGCAGCTCAGCTCGTGCCAGGAATCGAACCTGTTGCTCAGAGCTCGCACTCTTGAGTGAGCTTTTAACCAACTGAGCCACTCGGCTGGCCCACTACTGAGTCTTTCAAACATACCAATGGTTGACTTCCCGTTTCGGCCTCCTGCACCCACGTAGGGTATTTCCTGCTTGCCTGGTGACTGTGAACAGATTCTGGTTGAGTGTGTCCAAGAATTTCTCTACCACGCAGTGGGTCACAACTACACCTTCTACAATAGGGTCTGAACCCCAACCATGGAGGGGGAGTCCCACTTCCAAATCTGTTTTATTCATGGGAACACTCCATCATCCCTGGGGTATTTTATAAAGTTCTCTTTATCCCTTTATGTAACAGAGATTATTCTTTATCTTAAGCTTTTCCTATTCAAATTGCTATGTTGTTTCTGTCTCCTCACAGACCCTGATTGATACAGTAACCTTGGAAAAATAATTTTAATTTCTCAGTGTACTCATTCATAAAATGAGGAGACTGGGTTAGTTGATCTCAAATGTTCTTTCTGGCTCTCAAATTACATTATTCTAGGAAATTCAGGTTTTTCCCTATATCAGTTATATCTTAAGTGTGCTAGAATGAATAGCATATGGCAGAGTATAATTGTGTATTTTCTTCCCCCGCCTTAGTCATAGTAAATGGGTCTCCCTTCTCATCTGAATAACGGTTTCCTCTTTCTGGGTCAAAATATTAAGTCAGAGCAGCAGACAGTATCATTCCATGCGCACAGTGAACAATCAAATACTATGAAATCCTCTGTGAGAGTTTTATCTAGGGAGCTACCTAAGGATCAAAATGGAAAACTAGAGATTCATGTATGAATATGAGAGTTTAAAATACATAAGTATCATTTTATCCATTTGTGAATATAAGTGCTATAAGGAAACATTAAGTATAAACAATTCCCCTCTGACATTGTTTATCATAGCACATTATAAAAGACTCCATTCACCACCCCCATCGCCACACAATTTAAGTTTTCTTTTACCTTTCTCTGTCTTTTACTGATTGTTCAGCCATTAATTTCTTCAGATCTTCTAGACGCTGAAGGTCTCTCATTTCCTTTTCTTGCCACTTCTGTTCTTTTTGGGCCCAGTACTTTCTTATCTATTGTATAAATGTTACATAAAATTCAAATTAACACCACATATATAAAAACAAGGAGAAAAGTTATTACCCATTGGGTCATACAGCAAAGATTGAATTTAAATGGCACTTCATCTCTTTCATTTTTTAGATATGCCTACAGTGTATTGGCAACAGGAAAAATAAATTAAAACACAAAAGTACACATCCTGAGAAACTGCATGGTTTGACAATTTCTGAAGTGGAAATATAACTTGTGCTGAGACCTGAGGTTTTAATCTATGGCTAAAATAATCGACTTTCAGGGAATCACAATAAAAGCATGTTATTGTCTCTAAAGTAAATGAGCTGTCATTATTTAACAATATTTTTATCCTCTTATGGTAATGCAGTCTTTAACAAATATAGCATTAAACCTATTTTTACTTCGAAAGCATGAGTTTATTTATGCTAATGGCAGCAGGATGTTGAAAGTTTTATGCTTCTGGGGAAGTGGCAGGAGATAGGTGGGAGGAAGAAAGAAAAAAAATTAGCAGGGTTGTGATATATAGTAGCTCTGACTTATGTGGTAAAATAAAGGACAAATTTTTTAAGCTCAATAAGGTGAAAGTGTTGTTCCTCCTAGGCCTGTTTCACTTTCCTTCTCTGGAGGCAAAATGAGAAAACCGGCAGTACACACATGCTATTTTCAGGGTTCTCCTTGTGCTGGGGCAACTGAAATTGATGTTTACTGGACAGAGGCCCATTCATTACTCCAGCCTGCCATGTCGTGTCTGGGTCAAAGGACTGGATCTCATTGGTAAAAAACAGAGTGCCTCAAAAGTGAACAATAATGAGTGACTATCCCAGAGGGTCTGGTGTGGAGGATGGGGTCACCTCATCCCCAATGGAGGATTTTCTCTATTCAGAAGTGAATATGAAAAGCTAACTGGTTTCCAGACTTGCCCTAGAAACACGGTCTCTAACCCCTGGGGGACCAACAGAAGTATCCAGAGTGCCAGGGCCACAGCCACAGCAAGTCTGCAGCAGGGCAGGCAACCCAGCAACCACAGTAGTGACATCCGTTCAATGCTCAATGAATAGCTGCTCAAGGTACGGTGATTCCACTCCAGAGATGACTGACATTGAATCTGGGGAGAACAGAGATGAAGCCAGAAAGGTAGCAGCACCAAAGATGGGGCATGAATGAGAGGATAGGAGAGGGAGAGAAAGGAAACACTGGCTAGTACAGTGCATTTCACAGTTCTATTACTGCCATGTAGAAATGTTAACAGTGATTCCATTATCTCCTCTGGGATTTATACGTAATCTTTATTTTATTCTTTATACTTTTCTATGTTACCTTTTTGTTTGCAATGAATATGTACCTCTTTCATAATCACAGAAAATAAAGCTACTTTAAAACTACATTTTGAAAAAGAACAGATATTAGATTAAACAGCATTTTTCTCTGGGTTCCAACAGACCAATATTTGCTTACTCCCAGCATTGGTCTTGGAGCGAAACCAGTGGTCCTTTTGCAGACAATCCCTTAACTACAAGTGGGCCAAGCCCAGGTTGCTGGTATCCTGAGATTGCTGACACCACTTGGTACACTGTCCTGTGCAGGCCCTAGAATTATGCCACACCTGGCACTTTTTGGCATCTCAGGGCCAATTAATTCTATTCTTGACTCTCTGGTATCCGCAGCTATTGCTATACTGTGAGTC